TTCTTTTCGCCTTCCACGACGTTCTCATGACCGGAGAAGACTTGGAAGTGCGATCAAATGCTTTGGAGTATTTCTTTGAGACTCTGCTCAAGTATGGTGGCACTTTCCCGTCAGAGTTCTGGGACATCCTATGGCGTCAACAGCTCTATCCTATTTTCATGGTGTTGAGGTCCCGGCCAGAGATGTCTAATGTCCTCAACCACGAGGAATTGTCAGTCTGGCTATCGACCACTATGATCCAGGCTCTGCGGAATATGATCACTCTCTTCACGCATTACTTTGATGCCCTGGAGTACATGTTGGACAGATTCCTGGAACTTTTGGCGCTTTGCATCTGCCAGGAGAATGACACAATTTCTCGAATCGGAAGTAATTGCCTCCAACAGCTAATCCTCAAGAATGTGACCAAGTTCAAGCCTGAGCACTGGAATAAGCTTGTTGGCGCTTTCGTCGAGCTCTTTGAGCGAACTACCGCGTACCAACTCTTCACTGCCACTGCAATCAACAACACGGCGTCCATATCGCCGCCACCAAACGGCCTCGAGTTCTCGTCAACCTCCTCGGCAACCACGCCTATGGATGAGACATCTCTCAAAATCAACGGCAAGGAGGAATTGGAAGATGATCACAGTGTTCCACCCCCGTCAGCTGAAGATGAGCTCCAGACACCAACGGCTGACGGCCCCCATATCGCCCTTGAAGAGTTTAAACCGTCTTCCAACCTTCAGCAACAGCCTGTAGTGGTTACAGCGGCTCGAAGACGATTCTTCAACCGAATCATCTCCCGTTGTGTGTTGCAGCTCTTGATGATCGAGACAGTCAACGAGTTGTTCAGCAACGACACCGTCTACGCACATATTCCCTCCGCAGAGCTTCTTCGACTCATGACTTTACTTAAGCGGTCTTTCCAGTTCGCCCGCCGCTTCAACGAGGACAAGGAATTGCGCATGCGACTCTGGCGTGAGGGTTTCATGAAGCAGCCTCCCAACCTTCTGAAGCAGGAGAGTGGCTCGGCAGCTACTTACATCTCTATTTTGTTCCGTATGTTTGCGGATAATGCGCCTGAGCGACTGGAGAGCCGGCCTGCTGTGGAGGACGCATTGGTGCCCCTTTGCAAGGATATTGTTCACGGATACACTACGCTCGAAGAGGAGAGCCAGCATCGCAATATCGTTGCATGGCGGCCCGTTGTCGTCGATGTTTTAGAAGGCTTTGTCACGTTCCCTGAGGATGCTTTCAAGAAACACATCCCCGATTTCTACCCCCTTGCGGTTGAACTTCTCACCAAGGATCTTACCGCAGACTTGCGATCATCACTCCTCCTGGTCCTGCGACGAGTTGGAGAGGTTGGCCTGGGTATCGAGGGCATGACAAACGCGGGACAACGGCGAGACAGCGAAGCCAGCAGACTTACGGCAGAACCAGTTGGCGACCGAGAGGCGGATGCAAGGAGAATGCTTTAGGATGGCCTCCCTCCACGGTTGTTGACGGTGAGGAGAAGCAGGGCGTTGGATGGATTATTAGAGAATGTTGGTTTTCATGACGTTGTCCTAGATACCCCAGGCTACCCCATACGGCGATAGGCTGGCCTGGGAATTTGTATTATGAATTGTATCGAGATGTGACAATATACTGTATGTATCCATATCTATCTCATCAGTGCTGGTCATTATTTCATCGCGGGTATTAAAAACTTAGAATAGCTCGAAAACTCATCCTAAATTTAGGCACGTATTTCATTATATACTGTAGTTTCTCCTACAAACAGGAGGAGTAAAAGGTTTGATGTCATTGTATTGATATGCTGATCTCCGGTACTTAGGTAAACAACAGGTCCCTCCTTACTTCTACATTCTTTCTCTTTTGTTACTAAGCTCCGTCGAGATCAAACTGCACCTAGTCGAGGATTCGACTGATGTATCTAGCCAATAGTTCTGCCTCCTCCTGTATAGTCCGATCTGGAAGCGTTCTCAACGCATGCTTGAGTTCCTGGTCTTGTGAAGTCGCCGTCTTGATGACATTTCGCACAATAGCATCCTTATCCGCCGAGTCTCCTGCAATTCTCATGATGCTCACGAAGGATTCGTAAAAAACGATGAGAGTTTGATGCATGAGCACATCACTTGTGTCCACCATGCTCAGGGCCGCCCATTGAAGTAGCCCATGCCCTATGGACTCATCGGCGTACTCGGGAAGAGGGAACAGACCTGGGAATGGGGATATGGACATGGCACGTGGATGAAGCGCGGTAAGACGAGGAATGAGTCTAAGAAGGCGATCTTGAGCAAAAGTTGCTTGGCGGTTGATGATCGCGGGACGGCATAGTGAGACAATGAGTTCGAGGTAATGGCGATCCCATATTACGAGGCGCCAGAGACTGGCGTGACCTGGGACACGGCGCTTGATGAGCTGTGTTTCTGCTGGGCTGGTGCCATTCACGCCGTTCGACATGGTTGTGTCAGGAATGATGTCGCAATCAGTCTCTAGCAGACTGCCCAATACTCTGGTAGATCGACCACCGACATCTGCATCTGGTGAGCTCAGCCATATCCGAAGGAGCTCCTCGACGACCTCGGGCAACGAAGCCAGGGAATCAACCTCTGCAGGACTGGAGGCTGCCTTCTGGATGATGTTGAGAGCGAGTAAGTTTGCGCCAGGAAGCGGTGATTGGAGAGCGGACACAAGAGATTCGGCACCGCCGAGTGATAGGCACTGTGTGAAGGAGAAGGGAGAAAGAAGCTTAGTGGTCAGAGAGAAGACGACGCTGAGGCTTGCAGGATCCTGAGTAGTGGTCTTTAGGAGAGACATGAGCGGAGGGAGCAGAGTTGGCTGAATGATGGGGATGTTTGAAGCTGTAGTAAGTCAGCGCCTAGAACATCTGAGTTGTGGGTGGTTATTTACGTGTGAGTTGAAGCTCAACATCGTCAAAGAGCTTGTTGTTGAGTGGTGCCGATTCATTTCCTGGCTCATGAAGTTCAGTGAGATGGGCCAGTAATTCTGCAAGGCCAGTGAGAGGAGCGCTGTCGCTGTTCTGGGGCACGACACGCTCAGACATGTTTTCTTTATACGATGCCGATGAATACCTTACACAGCGAGACTGGCAAGGGTTGAGTGTCGTTGTAGTGAAATGTCCGTGTAGGTGATTGCAGTGGATGTAAGCTGCAAGTTCACGGAGGGGTACGTAGCCTAGGGAGCCTGAAGGGAACACCACGTAACATGTCGATTGTCGAGAGATGCATCTAGAATTTCTATGGCTACCGATATAGGTACAAACACTCAAATTAGCTCAAACACGTTCATTTTTTATCCCCTAACATTTGATGTTTCTGTAGAATAAAATGCAGTCATACTCGTCAACTACAATACAACGACACCTGCTCAGCGGGGCATCGTCATGGCGGAGAAATTCCGCCCTCTCTTTTTTCTTCTCGGCGCATTCTTCTCCAACTTAACTTACACCCCGCAAAAAATCATTCTGCGTCAAACCTCGATCGCGAATAGTAACGTCAGCTCTATAGCTGCAATCACAGTCAGCCTTACTCGACCCTCCATATAAATAACCCTCCCGTTCTTCGAATTGGCTCTGAACCCTCGATAAAACCACCACATTCCACGCGCGCACTCCAATGTCTCGAGGTGGTCGAGGAGGTGGCCGTGGTGGACGCGGCGGCGGTAGAGGTGGAAGACCTAATGTGCCCTGGGATACAGGCGATGAACCTGATGCGCGGCCATCTGAGCTATTTCCCGTATGTTCTTGTCTTCTGTGCTCTATCTCGATCTCAAAGCGCAAGAATTGTGACTCAGTGTGACACATCGCTGACTTACAAACAGCCATACCTCGTCCCTACTCCCCGAGAACTCGCCTCGCACGAAAAGGCAGCTGTACAACACTATCTTCTACTACGGCATCAAGTCCACGCCTCTCCTCTATATACATCCAAGCGCACAGCTCTCAATGATCCAACAGCACCCCGCAAACACTACGGCCAGGCACAGAAGAATGCCCGCTTCGGCATCAAGAGCAAGGCCTCTTTAGATCCCTTTACCGCGGTACCTACCTACTCCCATAAGTTCGTTCGCGAGGAACGTGCTCTTCCAGATTGGTCCGATCGTCCAGTATGTCGCGAGCTCTTCCCTATGGAACTTTACGAAACTATCGACGCTGCATCCGCCAACGACGGCGGTCTTCCAGGAGGTTTCAAGCGCCGGAAGTTGGAGCTGAGCAGCGTAAGCGCACTTCCTAGTGCAGAGGAAGCTTTTGGTATGGGAGGTGATGGCGAAGACGAGATGCAGGGCCGTAATCTCCTTGAACGGTTACAGGCGCTCAAGGAAGAAGAGGGCGACGAAGCTGGCGATCTTGAAGACGAAGAAGGCATGGAAGAGGAAGAGCAGGATGAAGTTTACGACGACGAAGATGCGGGCGATTATGACGCTGAGAATTACTTTGACGGCGGTGACGAGTTTGACGATTATGGCGATGATGGTGGCGATGGAGAAGGGACTTATTAGTTGGCCGCTAAATGCTTTCACAAGGATAACAAAAAAGAGTATTTTGGAGAGGGCCAGCGATCATTTGTATATGTATATATATATCTCACGGCACAGCATTGGTTTGATACCCAAGTCCGCGATCTTCGTGGTCGTGGCAGATAATGAACTTGACATATTTGTATCAACCCTGTGATGTTGGTCTCGTATCCCTGTGAAGCCCAAAGCATTAAAATGGCCAGGAGAATTTGGTATCCTCAGATTTCCCTCAACCTTTCCTCTTCAATTTTCAATGGCTTCAGCAGCTTTTCTTTTGTCGAGTAATATTCATACATGTCGTAAGGTTGTATCCTCACTAAATACCCTGCTACAGTTGACAACCCCGTACCCTTCGCTTCACCCAAATAATGCTTCTGTGGCCCTTTCTTCAAACATGAAACGGACTCTTGCAATGTCCAACAGACTGATATTACCGCAGCACATTCCCTCCTTATCATTTATGCCGCCGTCTCCTACGCATTCATGCCCATGGCGTAAACTCCACTGTCCACAATCCCAGCCTGGAGGCGCGATAGCCGTTCTCGAGTGTCGGCAATCTGTCCGGCCTGGGCAACAATTGCGCTTCCCGTATCTCTGAGCGCCAATAAAACCTCGTTCAGTTGATCCTGGACGACTACGCTGCCTGCGCTGCGGTCGCGTAGAGCTCGGATCTGCTCATAAAGACCGTTCTCAACACCAGGCATATCTCGCTCAATATCATCTCGGTACTCATCGAGACGAGCCTTGTACTTTTCAATATCGTCACAGATACGGTTGAAGTAGGTGATCAGATCTTGGGCGTCCGCATGTGTCGAAGCAGCATTTGCGCCTCCAGAATCAGCAGCTGGAGCCTGGCTGGCGAAAAGACCAGTTTGGTGATAGTGTGTCGGGAGTTTGAGGTTATCGGCGCCTCGAAAGCATAGTCGGGCATCGGCGGCGTTCTTTCGGGTTTGATCCTGGAGAGCCTTGACGGTCTGAATATCGTTGTTGAGGGCAACTTGAACAGTTCGGAACTTTGACTCGACAAACTTCACATCTAAGCCCAGTTGCTCAATATCCTTCTCGTGCTGGGGCATGAACTCGCCAATCTCGTCTCGCATCTTGATAACTCGTTGGATACCCAAGTCCAGCAACGCAATTTCATCTTGTACGGGCTTAGCGAGGTCATCGAAGCGGGTACGGGGGCGGATGCTGTCGTAGTTGATTTGAACGGCTGAGACTTGGTTTGTGGATTGACCAAGGGTGTTGTTCTGCTGAGGCTGTGTTTGGCCACTGCTGAGAATTAGTGACTGTCTTGACAAGGAGCTTCGAGTAACTCACAACAGACTGGTGCCTGTAGCGGGCTTCGCCTGAGATTGGCCAAAGAGCCCTCCTGTGTTGCTTTGTGTATTTGTTGCTGTAGATTGGCCGAAAAGACCTGTACCTGTTTGTTGAGGCTGCTGAGTTTGATTTTGGGTAGATTGGCCAAAGAGGCCGGTGCCGGTCGTTGGAGGTTGCGCTGTAGTTCCTAAATATCCCAGTGAGCTCCCGAGATTTATGACTTCTGACCAAGCAGACCAGTTTCAATCTGCTACTGACCTTGTTGTTGGGTGTTGTTGGTAGCAGTGTTGCCAAAGAGCCCAGTACCTGTGCTCTGCGTCTGTTGAGTGTTTGTTGCGCCGGCAGCGCCAAAGAGACCACCGCCAGCTGCGGGCGTAGTTGTTGTCGCTGCCGTCGACTGTCCAAACAGGCCGCCTGTTGCAGGCTTTTGCGCAGCGTTGCCAAAGAGAGACATGGTGCCTGTTGCGCCGGGCGCTGTTGTTGTGTTGGCGGTGGGTGTAGAGGTGGTAGAAGAACCGAAGAGACTACCAGCGGCGGAGGGTTTAGAAGCGGCGGTTCCGCTATGGAATGGAGTGCGCCGGTTAGCAAGACGATTTCGACGAGATGAAGGTAACAAGCTGAGTTAGGTTGGGTAGGTAGTGCTGAGTTGGGTGGATATGATGGTGAATGATTGTTTTGTTAGAGGGTGGAGCTTACAAGGCGTTAGCAGCACCAGTGTTGATGCTTAAACCACCTGCTGGGCCGCTTGCTGAACGGATCAATGACATACTAAGGGCGAAAACAAAGCCCTTTGATTGAATGCGACAGTGTCTACAAAGTTAATTTCACGCGATCTGCCCGTGTTTTGACGCCGCGACACGACAAAAAAGTCTCCAAGCTTCTTGGAGAAGATGGCGCTTGGACCATTTTGGCATTCGGTGAACTTCGGTGAATGTCCCTAGAGCTACGGTGAGTCGAGTTCCGGAGAAATGCGGCGCCGAGCGACCAATAGCTGCTTTATTGTGAGAGCTTGAGCTTGACGTCTTTGTACTTACATATCAACTCTCGATATTTACCAATTCTAGTCGCAACTACTTAATTTTACACTTGCCAACTTCATATCGCTAGAACCGCAAACATGGATATCGACGACGAGGATGATTTTTATGTGCCAGATGAGCCAAAGACCGAGACCACAGTTCCGGAGGACAAGAAGCCAAAAGCGGATGATCTAGAAGAAGGCGAAGAAGAGGATGAGGGTGCCGCTATGGATGAGGACGATGACTCTGATGAGGATGACTCGGTATGCGATCTGCGACACGTCTAATACACACCAACTGACATAATTTCTCAGGACATCGACATCATCACAGAGCGCAAAGATGGCACAAAACCAGCACCACCACAGTACGCTATACCTTCATGCGCCGGGTTTGGGGGTTACTAACAGATCTTTCCAACTTTAGACAGTCCAAGTACAGTGATATTCGAAACATTCCCCAGAGAACAGCGTCAAGCGATGTGCCAACACAACCTGCGCCGGCACGTAAGGACTCAGAATCACGACCATCAGTAAACGTTGCTGCGCCAAGCGCCGACAAGACTTCTGCTGCGGCATCTAAATCAACGATAGACGTCAACGCAAACCCGATTCATCCTGGGACAGGAAAGCCTATCACTCAGGTCAACATTGACGAAGGTAAACGACACTACCAATTGTTGTCGCGCAAATACTAACATAAGGAATTCAAGACCTACCAGACAGCGACAAGCCATGGCGGAAACCCGGTACCGATATTAGCGACTACTTCAACTACGGCTTCGATGAATTCACATGGGCGCTTTACGCTTCCAAGCAAGAGACCGTTCGAGGAGAATTCGGAGCTGATGTCTTTGCCCAGAACAATAAGAAGATGATGGAAGACTTCAACATGATGATGATGGGCGGTATGGGTATGCCAGGAGCCGGTAACTCGGGTGCTCAGCAAGGGGGAATGCCTGGTGGAATGGATGGCATGCCTCCTGAGATGCAAGCCATGATGCAGCAGATGATGGCATCAGGTATGGACCCGAGCCAAATGGATCCCAGTCAGATGAATGCCATGTTCTCCGGTATGCAAAACGCTGGAGGAGCGGGTGCACAAGCAGCACAGGGTGGCCAAGGGGGCAACTTTGGCGGTGGTTTCGGCGGCAATCAAGGTGGTTTTGGGTATGATCAAAATATGTCTGGAGGTGGAGGTGGAGGAGGCGGCCGGGGAGGATTTGGGGGCCGCGGGCGTCGAGGGAGATGGTAGTGGCCGCTCTCTGAAGCCGTCCCTTCCACAGACCAAAACTAATGGGCTTTGTCGATTTGTTAATGGGAGAACCTGGCGTTGGGGCATTTTGCCGATAGGCATGGGACCATGATAGATTGGCTCTCTTCACGAGCTACTCTGAAGAACGAGTTATCACTAAGTGTAGGCTTGAACAAACGTCTTGAACTTGTCTCTGTACCTACAGATTATACCCAAGAAAAAAACTCCCTAGCTAAGCTTCACTTCGACGATCTTCGCTGGCTCTGTCTTCCCATCCACAGGCACTGCATTTGCTCCAGAAGTCGAAACGTACAGAACTCCCTCGTCCTCACCAAGCACGCATGCTGTTGAGCCTGCAACATCAAAGGCCTTTGCTTCGCCCGCCACCACCGCAACCTCTCCGCCAATAGCGGGGATTCGTACCACCGTGTTGGATATGTTGGTGCACACGTACATGGTTCCATCGCGAGTTACAGCGAAATCATCCGCGACAAGTCCCGGCGCAAGCGTTTCAACGGGACCTGCAGCCTGGGCTTCTTGTGTAACGGGTACACGGTATACACAGAAACGGCTTGTCGTCGTGTAATAGACATAAGTTTGCTCTGAGAAGCGATGGACTTTGATACCATTAAGGCCAACTTGAAAAGGGGCATCGGCTGGAATTGTAAATGTGTTGTCTTCCAGGGTAACGTTGTATGATCCTGTGGCAACACTGAGCTTGTATACTTTTCCATAGAGGCAATCTGTGACGAGCGCAGTGTTTTCATCCCATGCAGCTATGCCGTTGATCATGCCAATCTCAGGTATATCGGCTATCTTGGTCACCTTTGCCTGTTCACCAGCGAGATCTGCAACCCAGATACTCCATGATCCAGGCTCAGGTTTGGCACCTCCGATCATGTCAAATGAGCCCGCAGCTACCGCAAAGACATCAGATTTGAGGCAACAGATGCCGGTGAGTGCTGGGTTCGGGATGTCATCTGGAAGAGGGATGTGTAGGATCTTGAAGCCAATTGATTTCTCAGGATCAATCTCCCAGACCTCGGGGACATCGAGGCGAGTTGCCAAGATGGTTCCGCTGCGTCTGAGAGTGATGTTCTCAAACCACGTTGGCTGGGAGTCGAGTTGGAAAACAGTTCGAGTATTAGACATGTTTTTAGTGTTTTGTCGTGAACAACTTCTCCAAGGTTTGGCTCGTTCAGTCTATCGCATCTTTTGATACTGAATTGCTCCATTTAACAATTGCCTTTGCTTATCCACTGGGTAAGCAGGTTGCCACATCTCTTATTTCACAGTCAGCATAAGACGGAGAATCTGACACAAAATGAAGCCAGAAGGATTGGCGAGTCCTCGTTGCTGACCCAAATCATTTCTATAGCCAAGAACTACGTGTTTTGCAATCCTTGGTGAGTAGTTCAGCCCGAGTGCTCTTATCTGTGAAGAGATGAATCCCTGTTTGATGACTATGTAGATGTCATGGAGCCTGAAGGAAGGGTGATGTTTGACAGATCCAGTCACCATCCAGCGTACATATTTGCTGGATCAAATCAAAGAATATCTCATTGGCTTGGTATCGATAATCAGCTCAATTTACACATCACTTGTCCTAAATAGATTATCACAATTGATTATACTTGTCGGTATCTGATAGGGCTCACAGAGCAATCCTCTTGTATCTCACTTAAGCGAATCTCAGCCTCTGGGTGAATCTGAAGTTCTGCTCACACCAAGCCTCAAGTTCCTTTCCATCAAAGCGAGCTGAACCAGCCTCGTACACCACATCTCCATCGTTAAGGACACAGACATAAGACTTTCCATCAGCCACATTCAATGCCAGCGCATTGATAGAGACCTCCTCATCCTGTTTCTGGCGCAAAACCGGCTCCAGGTTGGCATATTGACCCTTGAGGTCAAATCTGAAGCGAGAGTCTCGATACTGTGCAACCCAAGCGTCGCCAACACCAAGCCAAAGACTGTCAACCGCAGACCGAACTGCGTCGGGTGTCACTTGTAAGCCTTCACGGATTATCTCTTGAGGGAGCTCCCACTCCTCAGTTCCATCGTCTACACGAGTATAGAAAGTCTTGTTGGGACCGAGATATAGGAATGATGGGCGCTCAACATCGTGTTCTGTGTAGAGATCTGCGATCTCCCCATAATCCTCAAGCTCAGAACTGTCTGTTTTTGATGGTCAGTCAAGTCAATTACAACAAAAAGAATGCCACTTGCTTTGTGCTGCAATATTCCCTTCAGTATAACGACGACACTGGAAGAAGTGTGGATCGGGACCAAGAATGATGTATGCAGTCTTGTCGAGCCCCTTTCGATGATCAAAGTCAAGCTTTGGTTGACCTCCCATCCCTCTGTGAACTCGTCTTCCTCGTATGTCAGTACGTATAATGCTATCAGTCTGTAGGCTCACCCGTAACTTCTTGCTGGGCCACTGAAGAAGTAGCTCTCTCCAGCGAGGCTCACGGTGGCAGGTTCATGCGAGAAGTCTTCTCGCTGCGTTGGTCGACCGATAAAGGTACCGGGAATAGAATAGCTACCGGACATGTTGTAAGGTTGTTTCTCAGTCAATAAGTTGCAAAACGGCTGGATCATCATGGGGGAGCAGCTAGTATTTATAACATGTCGTGGTAGAGGTGCTAGTAAATGATTCCACCCTTGATTGCGACCACCTACCGCTTTTCTTGTTTCATGAGGCTAGAGAATGGCTTTGCTACGGTCACAGAGGTACTACAAGCGGCCTGTAAGACTCAAACGAGTTATGAAGGACCGACTGTGTCTGAATAGGGGCATATCGTTGGCGTCTTGATTTGGCGATACCTCATGTTTGCCGAATGCAATTCCACGCCATACCCCCACTAGCATTGCAAACATTTCCGAAACTGGTCTGATTGATCTTTGTGATGTAATTGTGTCTGTTTTTATTATTTCTGTAGCAAGGAAGAATCGGCTTCCAAGGGGTATCAATTCATACACGCTCCTATACGTTGGATAGTTGTAACACATAGCTGTGCTCAAACCACCACCTGACCATCAAACTTGTTGTCGTTATCATAACGAGACGTTTCAAAAAAAAGATCTGCACCAGCTACAATCTCCAGATGATTGCATACCAAGGTGTGTATACAGCCACCAAACATGAAATTTTGGTCATAGCCTCAATCAAGCATTACCAATCTCATACTTCAGGTAGGTATAAACTTCTGTGAGTCCTTCTCCTGCTGGGCAGAGGATTGCGAAAACGCTGCCAAGCCAGCAACAATGCCAGCGGCCATGACAAGAATCGAAATGATACCCCAGATGACACCCCAGCACTGCGACGAGCCGCCATATCGCTTTGCGAAAACACTCGCGTCGGACTCGTTGACTTTGCGCAGGATCAGATCGTCGCAAATATCCCACACACTGTACAAGGAAGACATGACGCCGATGAATAGAACGACGAAGCGCAGCGCTTGGGCGTGTTCGATGAACCAGCAAGCGATGAGGAGTCCAACGGCGAGAAGCACAGTCGCGATGGTAAGCCAATCACGCTTTCCCCACCAGAGCGTTAGCAGGAAGCAAACGCCGAGCACGATACTAGCGATTTTGCTGGCGACGATGTTGAATCCGCAGAAGATGAGTAATGCGCCGATGATGGAAGAGCCGAGATAGCCAGCGGGAAGCGTCAAGCCTTGACTGCCGCCGTAGAAATGTGTCACGCCACCTTCGTTGGGATCAAGACTGATTGACTTGACATGTCCACCTGTGAGGAGAGCAGTAAAGGCGTGGCCAAACTCGTGAAAGGCGATGACCAGCATCTGCGCGTGTCAGTAGTTGATTTGGTGACTGTTTGGTATTAGGGTACATACTTTGAAGGGCCAGAGAATCATGCGGACGTAGGGAACGTTCCATAGAATAGCGATAGCGACGACATAGACGCCGATGATGCCCAATGTGACTTGCTGAGTGTGAGTTGGGTTCTGGAGGTCGCGTCTGGTTATGGTGTTGATTGTGTTTTCAGCTGCAAATCGCAAAGCCAGCGATGAAGGATCCGGGTGCGGAGCCATGGCGATTTGAGACTCGCTATTGAATCTGGTTTACGGGTGAGAACCTAATTGAGACTGATTGTGTTGATCTATTAGAAAGTGGGTGGATGGCCGCTATTGGGTGTTTACTCGAGTCGCAAAGTCAATAAACGAAAGAGGTGAATTTGAAGCAATGAAAAGCGAGTAAAGCCAGACAGAGTGTGTTTGTTAAAAGACAGTTTTTTATTGAGCCAAGTTCCCCTCCTTCGACTGACATTCGGTAGCAGACGCCTCGTCAGCCGCCGCTTCACGACTTGTCTTGGCTTGAATTCAATTCCTTGGTGTTGACGCGGCATTCCGGGGCGGAGCTGAAACAGCGCCTCGCTCTAGAATGTGGCTGGAAATGACCGCCATTGGCTGGTATTAATAGCGGACGGGGTTGCTAGGGAACACCCTGAAAATACTCCATTAAAAACGTTGACGTGACTACGTCATCTGCCGTTGAGAGGCACACGACCTTGATGGAATAAAGACAATCAAGGGTCCTTTCAAAAGTCGGCAATTAATGTTTATTTATTCCGAGACAATAGACCCCTGTTTCTATTTCCCTTCCACTGTTTATTCTCGACTAGACCCGAGTTACGCTACAATTATGCTATAAGAAAAAGACAACCCAACTTGGTGATATCTTCCTGAGCATCAGGTATATCCAATGATCTCACTCATAGGAGACCGCTCCTTTGACGCGCGCTTCATGATACGTATAGGCACACAATACAGTGGTCAGCTATCAAGTCTCGTGTTACGACATTGTTCTCGAAGAGTTCTATACAATGATAATGGCCATCATGACAATAGAGGCAAGCAGTGCCAGTCTCTAACTGTGAACTTGCCCATTTAGCTAGCATCCCATCTTTCTCACCGAAAATCCCATCAACATGAAGCTTCCAACTCCTTCTACGTTGCCCCATCTATCACTACCAACAGTCCCAGTTCTGTGGGCCCAGATAACGAACCAACAACCAGGATTTGTGCAAAAAAAACACATTCTCATGATACCGCAGAGCAAGGACCTTGCTGACCTCGATCGATAACTCAGCTAAGCGGCTCTACTAAACAGAAAATACTACGTTAAAAGCCATGGCATCCGCACCACAGATCCCACCCATACCCATCTCCCCAAGCATCTTCCAAACCACACACAGCGCCTTGGCCTTTAAGATGGCCTCCGATTTCGAGAAACAGAGCTACTGGCACAAGCGCTTCTCGTCCGAAAAAGCCTTCGAATGGCTTCTTCCGTCGGCCGAATTCATGCCGCTCGTCAAGCCCGTTCTCGACCGGCTTGACCCAGCCACGGCCCGCATCCTCCACATCGGCTTCGGGACGAGCGACCTGCAGAATCATTTCCGGTCACGGGGCTTCCGCGATATTCTCAACGTCGACTATGAACCACTCGCCATTGATCGGGGTCGCGATCTCGAAGAGCAAGCTTTTGGAGACATTCAAATGCGATATGATGTGCAAGACGCTACGCAGCTAGATCTATGCGAAAAGTTTGATCTTATCGTTGACAAAAGTACGGTCGATGCAATTTCATGTGGTGGTGAGATGGCGCTACGGCGGATGGCTGCTGGTATCAACCGTTGTCTTGCGGATGGTGGCGTTTGGATCTCGTTCAGTTATTCAGCCTACCGATTCGACCTCGATGACTTTCCATTCGACGTCGAGGTCCTTGCCAAAGTCTTGACTCAGAAAACGTTGCCGAATGATCCAGATATATACCACTGGTGTTATCTTCTTCGGCCGAAAGCAGATACGGCTCCGGGTTCTCCTATAAGTACGGACGACAGCCCTGCCGGAGAAGGCTGAGGCGACAGTGTGCTTATTAACTGAAAAATGTTTATACAATTCAGTCCTTGGATGAAGTCCCATTGTATAGAATATTCAACTTCAATCTGATAATGCACCAGCTGGCTGGGTAGTTCTCTTTCGTCCCTGATTGGACAACTCGCAGTTCTTAGACCTTCTTGCCTGTAAATAGAGATTATTAATAATGGGATTAATTCAAACTTGATACTCTTTTGTGAAATGCCTACAAACTATTTTGCCAGAGGGTCGATTGAACTTCATCCTCAACTCAAGGGTAGCTAATCTCTTCTGGTTTATGTGACTAAGCGACAGAATCCACGATGCCATGTCAATCGGAAGAAGATCCTTTCTTCCACTTGTAGTCGTTCTTGGTAAACGTGAAGAAAGTAATAGATTCCTAGATCGTGTCTGTGAAATTCTCTCGAGTGTATATATGTTGGGTTTGATACTGGGATATTGAGATGTGGGCACCACTGCTAAGGTCAATTATTTACTTATATATGCCGAAGTAAGGCCTGTATATGTATCCAGAGCTATACAAGGCTGAGAAGAAGTGTCGTTGAAGTGAAAAAGAGAGGTTTGTTTAAGCTAGTGCTTCATTCTTCCTGGAATCGGAAATCTTGCAATACCTGGATAACTTCTGGGCAGCATAACGAAACGCATGTGAACTTCCAGATCATACGCGCTTATACGGCGATCTGAACAACATAAAAGCGGTGGCTGGATTAATAATTCCACCAGATAATCCTTCTCGAAGAGTTTGTTCAAGCCAAGATTCAATCATCACCAGGCTCTAGGATATGCCCCAGGTTGGGAAACCTTCTCAAACGTGCTCACTCCGTGCCAAGACCACAGGCATTCCCAGCTCAACGGTCTCGATCACTATAAACGAGCCTATCAGGCCATTGATGACAGATACTTACACTTGAGGGAGCATGCATTTGTTAGCTAAAGAGCGGGATGGTGGCATTAAATCTGAGTTAATTTTATGCTTATCGTGACTACCTGCAGAAGCAGACACTACCAACATGAACATTGTCGATCTTTTTCAAGATCAACAAACTTTAGGTTAAGAGTTTAATCATTTTCAGGCATATGAAAGAACTGTTCTTTAACTAAACCTTTATTCATCCTGACTTTGTGCTTCTTTAGAGTTGAACCTTGAGCATCATAGTTATCCCAGCCAGTTCACAGAAACCAGACCTAGATCATTTATTCCCCTCCACTTCAAATTGAGCAAGATAGACCCCTAGCCAAGACAAAACTTGCTCACCGTGGCGTGTTATCACCCCAGCTGACATTTACTTGCAGAGACTTAAGCTTCTTGATGCCCACCTCTGTATACCCAAATTGTAGGATCACATTCCAACAACTATGGCTCAATCAAAGCGAGTGACTCTAGCAGCCCTCCTAACACTATGGGCCACTGGCGTCCAAGCCGATGGCACAGGCCTCATTGGCTGGGGAAAGACAATGTATAATCCAACCTGCTCCTTCGCCTGTCGACAGGTCATCCGAAAACAACAACTCTCCTGTACTCCTACCGAGTCGACCGAGAATCATGGGACAGCACATAATCCTGTCACGACGCCGCCCGATTGTTTTGTGGAAGACCATGCCTTTCTTAAAACTATGGCTCTTTGTATAGACACATACTGTCCCCTCGCAGGGAATCCTTCTATGAGCCTTATCGAAGATTATTGGGCATCACATCTTGGAACAGGAACTATTGGAAAATACGATTATGTTCCGGTCATGTCATATGAAGATGCTTTGACTGCGGCCAGGGAAGACGAATCAATGGCTTCCCATAGCACAAATTCGACGTCTGGTCACAAGAGTGGTAGCCATCATAAGAAGAGAACTGCTCTTTTCCCGCGCCATGGTGGCCACGATACATCTTCCCACGAAGGCCTAATAACCTTCAATGTGTCAAGTCCCTTGCCCATTACCGCTGGTGGAACAGAATCCCTCAACGAGACCAGCTTCATCGGTCCTGAGGATTGGCAACTCCAGTATAACTATCTCTACGACTTTGAGGCCAACGAGGCTGGCCATACAACGATGACTCTCGCCATCACTCTCGTGGCCATATTCCTCCCAGCGATCCTCTCACTGTTGAGATTCATACCCGGCCTGACTAAGAGTCGAGGATGGGCTTACTGGCAATCATTTCTGGTTGTCCCAGCATCGTTTGGTATGCGACATCGTGAGCCAACTATCGCTGGCAATGTCCCCAACAAGGGACAGGCACTCTACATTGCCTTAATCAGCACTCTCAACATCCTGCTCTGGCTCGGACCATATACGGTCCATCAACCTCAGGCTGGCTTTGCCTCCCTCAAAATGCAGACAATCAGCGCCGTGGGCAACCGAGCAGGTGACATGGCAATGGGTAACGTTGTGGTATTGTTCCTATTCTCAGCTCGCAACAATATTCTTCTTTATTTCACAGACTGGAGCCATAGTACATATCTCCTGCTGCATAGATGGCTTGGATACTGGGCTATCTTCCATACGATCGTTCACTCTGCCATGCTTCTCGCAAACTACGTCATTCAAGGCACCTATGAAGAAGAGCTGATACGCGAGTACTGGATCTGGGGTATTGTGGGAACAGTGGCAGTGTGTGCGATATTGCCCTGCTCACTGCTACCAGTCAGGCAGAAGATGTACGAGTTCTTCATTGGATCGCACATAATCTTAGCCCTGCTCTTCATTATTGGATACTACTACCATATTTGGTATCTCTATGAGTACAATTGGGGCTACGAGATCTTTGCATTCGTGGCTGGAGGTATTTGGGGTCTCGAACATGTCGTTCGACTAGTTCGCATGGCTTGGCAAGGTAATCGAAAAGCAACCATCTCGACCATTTCAGATGTTGACGGAGAGTACATCCGAATCGAGATTGATGGAAAGCCTCTGGAGGGTGGTGTTGCGTATCTTGCTTTCCCTACACTTTCGTGGCGTTTCTGGGAGACTCACCCCTTTTCCGTCGCACATTCTGGCTCATTGACTAGTGAGAATAGCCACCAGCCATCTACAGCTGGTGCCAAAGAAGAAAGTGTGACAGTCTCACCTAGTTCTGAGACAGATGCTGAAAAGGCTGTTAATATCAATCGGAACGCTTCAGTTGCGCTAGCAACTGAGGGGAGATCTACTGTCTTCTATGCTCGGGTCCGAACGGGCATGACCAAAAAGCTCGCATCACGGGTATCTGGCCAACAATCTGAAGCCCTTCAACTTCGGGTGATCGTCGAAGGACCCTACCATCATTCTGGCCATATCTCACCTCAACTCTCACACTGCAAAGATATTTTGGTTATTGCCGGAGGTATTGGCATCACAGCCTGTCTCCCTTATCTTCGGCAAGGCGCTTCAGGCAGTACCAAACTTTTCTGGTCGAGCCGCAAGAAAGGTCTCATCACAGCCCTAACGCCAGCGCTTGCTGATCTGCCAAGGAGTGTACAGGTCGAAACGGTTGTGGGGGAGCGTTTGGATCTTAGGGGCATCTTGACTCAAGAACTGATTGGAGCGCCAGATGATGGTGCGCTGGCGATTGTCATGTGTGGACCTCCTGGTATGGCTGATGAAGTGCGTAGAGACATTGTTGAGATTGTGAGGAGCAACGCCTTATGCCGCGCCTATGTGTTCTTAGATGAGGCCTATTCTTGGTAGTTTTGGTGGTGGCATGTCACTCAATGAAACAATCAAGATGACGATCTGCCCACTTCACGTAACGTGTACACTAAGCGATCTTGATAGAAGTGTTCATCACTATAAGACTAGATGTCTTGTGTAAATCGATCTTCATTTCATCATTTGCCATGCCGTCAATATCAGGCCCAAGCTGGCGGGACTCAGCTAGACTAGCCGTTATGAGAAACGCGGACCGAGCGGATATATCTACTTGAACTCTATTCAGAGACGTTCACGTTTCAAGATGAACTTCTAGATCAAGCTAGATTATTTTGTGTTGCACTGACCTGTTTTGACGTAAACGTCAATTTCGGCATCGATAGTTGGAAACCTTGAGTTGCACATAGTTAGTCTAGTATGCATGAGTGTGCTCTATGAAAGTTCCTCAGACCATCACCGTAAGCTATCGATGGGTGAATTTCCCATGTGGGTTATTCTCGTAATCAGCATCGTATACTGACTACTCGACTGAAGAGGTCAGTAATTGCATGTAATTGGTTCTGTGGTCAGCAAGGTCACGTTGGAGATCACGAGTGCGGCGTTGATCCGAGCGAATAATTGACAAATACCAAGAGCTAGATATGCCAGGTTCAGGACCAGGACCAGAGGCAGATTTCTCACGTTTTACCCCTGGCAGCTGCAGCTGCATCCTTGACATCCGCTGACTTGAAGCTTGGCCCTGCAGAGAAGGACAATACTAAGTAAGGTAGGTAGGTGACGGTTTTGACATGCGGTGGCGTTAGTAACAGCGCTCTGGAACCTCGTGTATATGAGACCACCTGCCTAATGTGTATATTTCTTTATCATAATTAGGTATCTGTGGCGTTGAATAGGTTATAAGGCTTGGGCCCGAGTGATCAAAAAGACCACATGGCATCAAAGTATGTACTGCATGTCTGTTCTCAAGTGTGAGTGTGACATGACATGCAGACTGATTGATTGATTGATAGTGAGGGAACTGGTTAGAGTTCCCCGATAGTTAGACGTTAGATCTGCAGTACAATTACCCGATCATACATTCATACATAAAAAGCAAACAACAGAGTTTTTCTGATGTGCATATAAGATCTGTGCTATATGCCAACAGCTGTCAGAACGACAACCAATGATCCCAAGACCCAACGTAAAAAACGGACCGACCTCAACCAAACCTGCTGAGCCAGCTGCGAAACAAGTGCAGTTTCCAGTGCCCGTTGGTTCAAAACTCCAAAGCCCTGGCCCTGACCTTGCTAACTCGGCTGCGACATCCCAGGCTCTGATCGTTCAATAATAATTGACCCTTTGAGGTAAAAAGCCTCGGCTGCTCTGTGGATCTGCTCCGCCCGGAAGCCAAACCTCGAATAGCCTAAGGCCCTAGAGCCCCCCTCGGCCCCAGCGTTAGCCCCGGCAGCTTGATCCAGAGCAGTAACTGAATGTCAAAATCCGTGGGTTTCCCCCGAAGCCCGGGCGCCATTTCCATTTCTTTAGTGCCTTGTCTAGCCTGTCTCTCACTGAGAGAAGCCCTTAGGCCCCTTGCTCTGGAGATTTTTTTTTTCTTTCAAGCCGCTAAACTAGGGTCCCCTGGCTCTTGCATTCGACCACTGACGATGGCGTCTTCTAGCGTAAGCCCTCCCATTCTCTTCTGTAAGCCATTAGCCATCACCAGGAACCCGCCGTCACGCGAGACCGTAGGCTCGCAAGCAAGGTACGGTATAATCCACTCTTGGGGTCTTGGCTTGGGTTCTTGGGCTTGACGACGAGGATCTCAAGGGTGTCAACTTGCCCTTTACGGTTCCATGCGTGGAGGCGGGTCGACGCGGAGGCGAACGGCGAACCGTATCCTCTTCCATCAGCTCACTAGAGTAGGTAGTTATAATCATGCTCCCTCTTCTTCTGACACCCGCTGCCGCGGGCCTCTCTCTTCTCGATCGTCTTGTGCATTTGATTTGATCTCACGATACCAGTGACTCACTGACAATATGCGCAATCCGCCGCCAGAGGTGATGGCCTCATGGCCCCCGCCAAACTATGTCAACCCTGTTCACCGTGGGCCTACACTGCTCATTGTCGAGGTCACTATCATGTCTGTGGCCATTCTGACACTCATGGCCCGTTTGTACGTCCGCATATTCAAGGTCAACAAGCATGGACTCGATGACTGGCTGATGCTGGCTGCCATGGTAAATATCCCTCCCAGCCTCGGCTGCATGTGCAACCTGCGATGATCATCTCCAATGCTGACTTGTGGGACTTCCAGGTGTTTGGTATTGGTGTCACTGTCTGTGTCATTCTTGCAGCTCAGCTCTACGGCTGGAATATCCATGTCTGGGATCTCAAGAAGTCTCAGGCGGAAAATGGTCGAAAGGTTTCACTCGCTGCTCAGACACTCTTTTTATTCTCCTCGGGCCTGGCAAAGAACTCTATCCTCGTGTCCTATCTCCGTATTGCCCCGGCCAAATCTTGGCTTCGTCGTTTGACTTATGCCTCACTGATTCTTGTCACCTCACTCATCTTCATTTTCCTTATTGTTCTTTGGACACAATGCAACCCAACTTCTGCATACTGGAAGCTGGACGGAGGTGACAGTTGCCGTCCTGAAGGACCCAGTGTACTGTAAGTCACTATGTCGAGGCATTTCTGATCATAACTAACGCTACATCTTTAGGAGCCAAGCCATTACCACTGTCATCACTGATCTCCTTGTCTGCGCCCTTCCTCTACAAACACTCTTCCACCTAAAACTACCTTTCTCCCAACGAATGGCCCTCATTGTCGTCTTCTCTCTCGGCCTCATCGTTGTCTTCGCGGCCTCTATGCGCGCATATTATACCCACTATGTTACCGATGAAACCTACGATGTCACCTGGCAGGGCTTCCATCTTTGGATCTGGACAGCCGTAGAGGCCAATCTTGGAGTTATCTGTGGCAGTATACCAGCACTTCGACCCCTATTCCGAAACATGTTCCGATCCAAGAGCAGCAGCTACTACAACAAAACCAACTCTCACGCTTATCCGCCCGGCACAGCTCCAGGAGTTGTAACAGTCGTCACCAGCCCCAAGAAGAACTCCCGAAATTGGACCGATAGTTTGCAACGAAACTCCAAGGGAGTCAGGATACAAGACGACCATATCGATATCGAAGGGGGATACAACGATGCTAGACGACAAAAGAGCTCAGATAGTGGAGCGTCGTCACTCGAGATGGACACGTGGCCACCAAGACCACAGCCTAGATCTTGGCCTACAAATTGACGAGGCATGATAATTTGACATAGTTTGGCGTTCTTGAACTTTGGGTGGGATTGGGATAAGCTTTACGAAGCTGGAATGGGCATCATGGATGAAGAAAGGTCTAGGCACCAAAAAAGGATTCAAACAGAACTTTGCTATACTTACTTAGCACGACATGATAAACACTTTTCGTTTTGCCCAACTATTGATCCCATTGAAAAGCTGAATGACATCTTCTTCTCCCGTCGAGTGCAGAGAAGACGGGACTGGCCATATCGAAAAGGCAACTTCTTCTGGAACTCGGCGGTATACTTGTCTTAGTAGCCAATTGACATTCCACGACCACGTGAGTTTCCATTAGCTGAAAGTCAAATTGCATGGGTAAAGCTTGATTGTATTAGACCTCAAGCCCCCCGAATGCCAAGAGATCGGAGATTTTTGCCCTTGTAGCGAGCGATGGGGTTATCTCGTGAAGACAGTCTAGGTCAGGTCAGGCATTTATTCCCGGCTATGTCCTCAACGGGAGCACAAGATCAAGTGATTGAGTGTAGCGAATGAGCAAAAAGATACTTGGCATCATACGACAGTGTGAACCAAAAAGTGACATCAAAACTACTGACGTTTTGGACATGATCTCATGTTGAGCTCCGACCCCACCTATTCCATTCAACCCCACTCCGTCCGTCCCGTGCCGTCCGGCTTCAGCTCCGGATCCTCCATACATATTCTCGGCCGAGCATGACACAATGGGAATGAGCAGCGAGTATCAGTAGAGGAGCCAGAAAGGACATATAGCTCCAATTATGGGAGACCCTTGAATTATTAATAAGGAATGCACATTAAAATAATGCTTACATCATCTTGACACAAAGGATTGATTAACTACCCTCAAGGGGCAAGAAAACACCGAACCTTGATATAGGGTGTTAAAATAAACTTAGCAAAAGCTCTCCTAAACTTAGCCTAAATTTGCCTAATATTTTCATCACTTAGGGTCAAGGTCCTGAGTTTTATTTCCTCCCCTAGGCCTACCTATTGTAAAGGATGGACCCCACCCCTTCGCAGCCGATCCCGCATCCCGCTCCGATGCAGGTGAGCTGAACTGAGCTTCCTTCCTTGAGACCGTCGTATTTCTAACATCATTTCTCTGATGACTCCAAGTCTCCTCACTTTCATCTTCCAACTCTCACATCAACACGTAAATAAGCATCATCACCATGTCTCAGCCAGATCCCAAGCGTGTCAAAACTGATGACGATGCTCCCTATGAGCTCATCTACTGGCCAGTCATTCCCGGTCGTGGCGAATTCGTCCGCCTCGTGTTCGAGGAAGCTGGTGTTCCTTACTCAGACGTTGCGCAGAGCATAGAGAAGGGCATGAAAGCAGTCAAAAGTCTTACTTCTACCGACAACATCGGCGATGAGCACAACCCGCCTGCTCTAGCTCCCCCAGCTCTCAAGCACGGCGATCTTCTCATCTCTCAGACGCCCAATATTCTTCTATACGTCGCTCCAAGGGTCGGTCTAGCTCCCAAAGAAGGAAACGGCGTGTATCATCTCAATGGGATTGTTTTGACGATCCTGGATGGTCTTGTAAATGAACTCCATGATACTCATCACCCTATCGCCATCAGTCTCTACTACGAGGACCAGAAGGAGGAATCCAAGAAAAAGTCCCAATATTTCATAAAGGAGCGCCTCCCCAAGTATTTCAAGTACATGCAGCGAGTGCTTGATGCCAAAACCAGTGGTGAGGGGCCATGGTTATATGGCGACAGCTTGACCTATGCAGACCTTGTACTTTTCCAGGTGAGTGAGACTGATGCTATGACCATCAAATCCTTCTGCACACTGCTGACAACCTACTAGGCTGTTGATGGCACCAAGTTTGCCTTTCCCAAGTCTACCGAAGCTTTGAAGAAGTCTGGCGAATACGACGGCGTTTTCAAGTTATATGACGCGGTCAAGGAGAGGCCCAACATTAGCAATTATCTTCAGAGTGATAGGCGCAGGAAGTACTCTGAGGGGATCTGGCGATATTACCCTGAGCTGGAAGAGGAATAGGCAAAGGTCAAATATTCGCTATTCAGACAGAAAAGTTATCCCATCACAGTCACGTCGAAGAAGTACAAATTTTTAACATGTTTTTATTGCCTAAAGAAACTCCAGAATGCTCCTTATGATGCCCAAGTTACCATTCCATTTGTTAGCCCAAAACCGTGTATTTTATGATCACCCAGTACATAATGTATTCATAAATCATGAATGATGTCCGTAATATCCTGTATCGATACTGTCATGCCTGACTGGGATATTATCTTTCCTCCGCTGCGACATCGAAGGATCAACGCCCAGCGTATGATCATCCCACTCTACAGCAGGCCTCTTCTCGCCCGTTCGCGTCGTCAGCTCACCATACAAATATGTTCCTCCTAATTCTCGGATACGCTGCTTGCGCTCCTCCCCGTCCATGTCCGCCATGCCGCTAAAGTGATCTACCATATTGCTCTCGCTCACGTAGTACATGGCCCCGGCGATCGAGCGGGGATCTACCGGCATATCAGGCCAGCGGACAATGAAGCTGAGAAGGATGGTGATTGCCATCAGAGCCAGAATGCCAACCGAAAGTCGAGCGCAGATGTCGTGTGAGACTCGCACTTGTGATAGCGAGTAAGGGATATTGGCAAGAAGAATGGGCATGAACTCGGAGAAAATGGCCATGAGAGCGACCAGACCAGGAAATATTTGTCCATGCTTGACGGCAGACCAGAAACCAGAGAAAGGGTTCGTCGGGCGTGTTAGCAAGACTGAGTTGGATGCTGACTGGGGACCATGCGACATGACCTGATATGGCACAACCATAGCGATAGCTTCATAGAATTAGCTCAAGACTAGAGAGTGATATGTCAGGGAAACTTACTGATAAAGAAGGCTGTCCAGCTGAACGAGATAATAACCCCAAAAGCGGCGAACAAGAACCGGACACCAAAAGTCTGGCTGTTCATGAAGTTCTTGAAGGAAGATGACTTGTCAAGTGTAAGATGGTAGTATAGCAGAAATACCATCAACCCAAGCAGGAACAGAAGAAACACTAAACGCCACGCGAGACCAAGCATGAGGAATGGGTTTCTTCGCCCCTTTCTGACTGCCTGTGCGTCCACAGAACTAGACTCTGATAACGGATGGTTATGCTGAAGGTTCTCCCCAGCGTCGTCGTAGAGAACAATACCGTACTCAGTCTGGCCTGCACGGTTTTCAAAGAACCCAAAGCCGTATCGCTTCTCTGCCATCTCTTTTTCTATTCTTCGCTCAGAGTCTTGCTGCGGTCTGATGTCTCTGTTTGAAGCCAGCGATGCAACTCCTGCAACACTCCAGGGATTTGCGTACACCCCAGTGTGGAAGTTTCGAAGGAAGAATAGTAGGCCGCAGAGCAGTAAGACCATGAGACCTAAAACTGCAAGGAGGATGCGTGACGATAATGGCGAGACGCCCAGGGCAGGAGCACAACCTTCATAAGCGTTGATCTTGCATTGGCCATGTAACTTGAAACCAACAGCTTCGACTGCCAGAGGCGTCAGAAGCGCCGAGAACAAAACGATCAGCATCGTGATGAAAGGCACGGGATGGCCATCGACAAGGCCATTGAAAGGCTCTACAATTCCTGCCCAGCCACCGAAGTGAAGGTTCATTGACTCCGGTCCCATAGCACCGTCGACACGGTTCAAAGCATGGAAGGGCTGAAATAGTTGGGCGTTGTAGTCGATAACTCGTGCAGGAATCGAGAGCATAACGGCAAGAATTGGGGGAAGAAACTTTCCCAGGAAGTACTTTCCAGCATCGAGCTCATATACTGTAACCACAGTCTTGACCACTCCCCCGGTTGCTTCAGCCCCTGATGCATCGTCAGTGCCAGTGGGAGCGATTGTGGTGGTCTTTTCGTAGGTTTTCGTTTTCCCTTTGATTGTCGATATTATCGTCGAAGAATCTGTTCGTTCAGATGTTATCGTCTTGAGTTTATCGGTTGACTTGGTCGATATGATTGTCGTAGGAGCAGCAGACTTGGTAATTGTTGCCAACGATGCGGCTTGAGTTGAGACGACTTGGTTAGTCGTGAGCAGTCCGTCAACACCAGTCTCAACGATGTCGACTGTGGTCTCGAAAGCTTCGATCTCACTGACAAATGTTTCGCCTTCTTGAGAAACAACTACCGCGACCGTCTCGATATCCTTGACCTTGGTGACATAGGTTGTCGGGTCCAGCTTCTCGACTTTCTTCACTGTGTGGTCGTTTTCGACGGTGACGACATCAATAACCGTGGGCTTCGCCTTTTCTGTTGGCTTGGGCTTGCCAATAGGCTTCTGGTCTGTGTAGACAGAGGTAATGGTGATTTTACCGTAAGAGACATAAGTACTAGCGGATGCTGTCGTCTCTCCCACACTCTCGTATTGAGTCGGGGCCGCCTCGGTGATGACATGCGACAGAGTCTTTGTCTCGCCATCCTCTATGATAGTGGTGTAAATAGTCTCTGTCCTATCTCCCTCCAGAGTAGACGTGTATGTGGTCACCGCACCGGGAAGAGAGTAAGCCTGGGTAACCGTTATAGCCTCTGTGTAACTGATAGTGCCAGGGGCGGCGGAGTCGGAGCCGGAGGGATAGACGACCGAGTAGCCCACACTGATACTTGTGAAGACGGATTTTGTTGCTTCTCCTGGTCTGGTGGTGACAACCTCGGTGACGACCTTGGTTGGGATCACGGTATAGTCTACGCTCGTCATTGTCGTGCCATCCTTTACCGTCGTGGTAAGGTCCCAGTGCGTACTGTACTCCGTCGTCTCGATCGTTGTGGTATACTTTCCGGTCGTGCCTGGTACAGTAACCACAGTAGACACGTCGCTCACGATATAAGTTGTTGCGAGTACTGTTTGCCTTGCAACTTCTGGAGTCATTGCCGCATCGTCTCGTGGAAGATTGGGGCCGTCATTGTTGCTTCTCTTGTGAATGATCTTTGCTGTTCCATCCGAGTTGGGCATTTCTATCAGTGCCCAGACGACCAGTCCCATGACAGCCAGGAGAAAGGCGATCTGGCCGATGATAAAGTACCATCTTAGAGCTGTAGGACGATAAAAGGTCCTTTTCTTGCCGGAGGGGAACTTCTCTGAATTGGTGTCCCACGATACATCGTCTGTGGCTTGAGGCTCGTAGCGCGCGTTGACGCCAGCCTGGTGAGAGTACATGGCGATGGTGACTCTTCTGGAACCCTCCTTTGGGACAAGTCAGGAGTGGATAGACTATTGTCGAGACATGGAGGAAATAAGTCACTATTTACTGCGGAAATCAATCGCGAATGAATGGGAGGAAAAGACATTATAGACTCCCACTTATTATCAAGGGCAGCCCAGCCTCAAGATATTATATGCATATCTAAAAACAGACCAACAACACCTAGCACAGCCCAGTAGGACTCAAGGGACCCCCAATGATAGTCGTTTACCGCTGCGAATGTAAAACAGAGTGGCGCCCACCCAGGTATAGGGCTGAATCCCGTAGCAGGGTTTGATCGTCTCTGGTCTTTACCATTGGCCTAGCTTGGGACAAAGCTGCAAAGCTAAGGATCGAGAACAAGGATCGAGAACAAGGATGCAGCTGAGGTGAGCAGAGTTGCCAAGCCAATAATATCCACCAACTGCCGGACGAATGCTCCTCAATTGGGAGCCTTCTTTCATTGTCGTGACCATTGACTGCAACTTCAATGTCGCGAATAGGACCATCAAGGAACTTGTTCTTGTTCGCGAGGCTGCAAGGGTTGTTTACTCTAGGAATCGTTGTCAAAGTCGAGTTGCCCTCATCATCCACATCATCATAATGGCCGTACATAATCACTACCATGAAGAAATGGTCGTATGAAATCCCAAGTCTATCCTCGGCTTCTTCTCGGTATAGCGGTGATTTTTGGCCTCTTCTGTGTAGGAGATGCCAGCCTCACTAATTCGTGTTTCCAAAGGAATAGCCAACTGCATTTAGCCAGGTGTATTCGTCTCTATACTGTGCATAGCAATTTGCTATACCCATCGCTCCATCGCAATCCGCCCATGATAGCGATCATCAATACTAGAGCCGTCACAACACTGGCCGTACCATAAATCCATGCACTTCGCCGCTTTAGAGTGCTAAGTTCAGCAACCCACGTTGAAATGGTCGTCAAACACCCACAGAAACCATCTTCCATGCCCTCCAGCACCTGGCAGCCGATGACTCCGCCAACCGGCACATGTGCGAGATCCCACGACATACCCAGGATCACAGTACCAAATACATTGGCAGTGAATGTTCCCAGAGGAAACGTTTTCATCTTTCCGTTGAGGTAAAGCGACAGGTAGAAGCGTAGTAGACAACCCAGTGGTCCAAAGATCAGCGCGAAGAGGGCTTGGCTACGCCAGGCATTATGTGGTGGGAATATGGCGAGAAGTACTGCACCAAGCCAGCAGCCCCAGCCAAGAAACACGCCCAAGGGATCAAGCACCCGTCGACTCAACGAGAAGGGAATCGATGGCGTAACGCGCTCAAGGCCAATAGCCAGGTGGGCACCTAGGAACAAGCCAGAAAGTGATAACGACACAGTGGTGATGATGACGGCCAGCATTGCCATGAAGGAATAGCCTCCATTGCGACTCGTCGGCGACTCTGACCACCCAGGCGTCTTCAGCTCATTAGACAAGGCCAAGAATACGTCCTTGATGAAACTCGAAAACGTCGTGAAACTTCCGCAGAAGCCCGTTGCCATTCCGATGTACAGAGGAATCGTCTTCTTGGTCGCAAGATGCGCTCGCTTTGCCGCGTCCAGGTCTACCTCCACCTGTTGGCTTGAACCAGATCCATTTGCTTCATCTTTTTGCTTTTGCTTGGCCCGCTTGATAGCTTCGTCGTAGGTCGGAGTTCCCCACTCGTTGCGGAAGAGCTTGCGATCCTCCGCGAGAAATCCCATTACAACACTTCCACCGAAATTGGCCCACAGCGTGTTGAATATGACGGGAGTGCCGGTATAGCGCGTCAACGCAGTCAAGCCT